TGTTTCCATATATCTTGTGAAACTAAATAGCTAAGTGCCAACTGGAGAAGGACAGGGCAGAGTTTGGAGTCCTGAGGGGCCTAGCCTCCCTTTCTGCTGTCTGTGGGGCAGTGGGATGGAGAAATCCCTTCCCTCTTCAAAGCTGGTTCTCAGGAGTCATGAGTCTGTTACCTTCGCATGCCTGGCCGTCCACAGGTGACCTGACCAGTAAGGATTCAGCCATCCAACAAACTTTCCTTGAGCACCAGCACACCTTGTGGCTGCAGACACATCCATCAGAAACTGAATAGGATTCTGGCTTCTCTGGACACAATTTCCCTGGAGTGAGGAGCAGTGGAGTAAGAGGGTTAGAATCCACTTGCTTCTTGTTCCTGAGCAGGGTATGGAAGGAGCACAGCTTCAGACAACACTGAATAACCTGACAACCTTCCACTGTGATGGTGAAATGCTTCAGGCTCTACAGCTGTGGAAGGAATGGACTTGAAGAACAGCCAGCCGCATTTTGCAGCTGGGATGTCGTTGTTTCCTAGAAACATATTTTCTCTGTCAAAGTGAAAAATTCCATTTTCATGTTATGGGAAGAATTGAGCTGCTTCAATGCCTCTGTGTATATTTGCAAACTAAATGTCTCATTTCTGAGAATGTCATTTTAGTATCTGGAGTCTCATCAAGACAGCTGAGTTTTAATGACAATTAAATATCTGAATGGATTTGCTGGGGGCTGGATTACCCTGGAGAGGTGCACAGCACCTGCCCCCTGTTCCCAGCTGCCATGCCCTTGGCTTTGGTGTAGAACATAAATTTAAAAACCAACAAACCTCAAAGCAGTTTAAGTGGAAACACACGAAACAGACTAAGTTACTCTTTGCTGCAAAATTCTGACATGAATTTAACTGTTGCAAAGCTCTCAGATCCTTTTTACACAGGGCCTGGCTCGCAGAAGGCACCAAAATTCACAACAGTACTAGCACCATGTCACATGGGCCTTCAGCCCATATAGCTGATCAGCAGAGGGCCCCCTGTCCCCAGTACACTCCAAAGAGCAAAGACACAGGAGAAACAGTGAGGCAATTAACTCCACAGACCCTGCTCTGAGCACGAGGGCTCTCCGAGGAGCAGTGGTCCTGCTACTGACAAAGACCTTGTATTCCTCGAATAGCTGGCAGATGGGCCACATGTCTCATTACCCCAGGGACACTACCCTAGGTATCTAGGACTGTTATGCAGGCACAAGACTACCTCAGGCAGGGGGGCACTTTTGGCTCACAGGGCTGGATTCTGTCTAGCAGCCTCTGTGGGAGTGTGTCCCTTGGGCTCTCCAGGGCAGCCGAAACCACATCTTCCTGGTTCTGCCAAGTTACCGGAGTAAAAATGAGAACTAAGTGAGAAACAAACAGGTCTATAAAAAGCTGGCAAATTAGTGCAATAGGGTAGTTTGGAAACCAAATTCCACTGTGACTGAAAAGAGAGTTAAAGGTAAAACACTGATGTCTTTGTTTCTGAGATGAGAATGGCCCTGAGGATGCACTGTCTTCATGGATGAGTCACGCTCTGGAGCAGTTCCGGTCTGCAGATGATGGAGCCTGCCTCCCTGAGCAGCACTGGTGCCCCACCCTTTAGCGGGGCCACCATGTTGTCACCAGAGGCCCCACCCCACAGGATGTGGTCAACAGTGTCACATTGCAAAGTTACTCTTTCAACTATTGGTCTTCCTCTTACTTCCTCTCTAGTCTCCCTTAGCACCAGAGAAGCCAGTGACAAAACCTCAAGGGGATGAGTTGCTGAACAAAAAGCTCACAAAGCAAACTGGAAGCTCATGAAGGAAGAGGCCAGGTTTCCTCACCTCCTTCCACAGCAGCCAACAGAGCCAAAGCATGGCACAACACCAGGTTCCCATACAATCACGAAGTAGGTAAACAGGGTTTGATCTGTTTACTCTTTGAAATACTTCAGGGACCAATGCATACTGAGGATGTTCCTGGAGACACAGCAGTAAGAGAGGAGATCCTAGCTGGAAGTGGTGGCCTGTGACCCCAGCACTCTGAGAGGCAGAGGGAGAAGTATAGCAAGTTTGAGACCAGCCTGGAAAACGTAGCAACTTTACAAGACCCTGTCTAAGAAGAAAAAAAAAAGATCTGGGGATGTAACTCAGAGATAATCAATCCCCAGTATCACACACACCAAAAAAGGAGATGCTTTCCTTTATGACCCAGTGGGCCCTGTCACTGGATCAGCAGATCAGGACAATTTACACCAGACCACGTTGCGGAAGGTCTGTGAGGCAGTGAAGGGGAGAATGAGTGACGAGCTGGTGAGAGAAGGAGGGTGCTGGGCTGCCTGGCCAGGCTGGGCCTGCAGCTCCAGCCCAGAGACCCCGTGAGTGGATGAAGAGGGACCTATGTTCCCTGTAGGGCTTCCCTGCTTTGAGATCAGTGATCAGCACACTGATGCTAACTAGGCTTCATTGGCTCTCTCTCCTAGGTGGCCAAGAAAGGCTTCCTATATCACAAACAGCAATGTACCAAGTGATACACACTGGGGTGGGACCTCATGCATTTCTTCTACTGTGTGGCAAGCAGCATCATAGACTGCACACTTTGAAAGGTGCCAAATGTTCTCTAGACATTAAAAACAAGAGTTCTTACATGTAAACACTACCTACAGGAACCACAGTTTTTAAGTTTCCAGCTTTTTATTTGCTTTTAAGTCATCAGAACTTTAAATTAAGTTCCACAAAAAAAAAAACAGAAGAATAAATTTCTCTGTTGCTCAACAACCTTCCTTTGATAGAATTAAACAAATTCGAAGAATATTCTGATGTTCACTGTGTTAAACAACAGGAAAGAGACGGCAAGCCACGGAGGGGATTTTAGAAAATGGAGCTGCACATCAGTCATTCTGTGACCTGAAATACCACAAGGTGTCAACAGCCTGGCACCAGATCACAGCTGTCTTCCCACTTTCACTTTTGGTGAAACTAGATCCTCCCATTCTGAGACTGTGTCCAAACTCTGTTCTTTATAGACAACCAGCAAATCTGGCTGGATGTTACAGTTAATTAAAAGGAAATGATCGGTAGTACAATTAAGTATGAATTAAAATAACTAGACACCCCTATTTAGTTTTTACTAGAGTCACTGACATATTTATAAACCATTAGGTGAGAAACTACTTAATACTGTTCACCACTTTAAGGGTATAATACGAACATGAACAATGCAATCACTTACTTTACATGGATGATCTGACTGCAAATTATGGAAACTCACTTGGCTGTTACAGACATTAAGTCCAAATACAGACTATAGAAGGACTCACTGGTGAAAAACTCAAGTAAGCTCAATACATGTAATAAAAAAGATCATTAAACACAACAGTATTGCAGCCCATGGTGAAGGGGTGTGGAGATAACAGTTCAGCTTATTTCAATTCAGTGGGCATTTTAGAGACTTCTGCAGAGAGGCTGTGGGTGTGGGCGTCCATTCTGAGCATTACGATGCACTGTCTTTTGCTTTGAGCTGCAGCACATGTGGTTTTATGTTAAATTCAAGGGCAGTGCCAAAGGAACTGAAGCTCCTCTTGGCCCTACCAGCTAGGGGTGGTCTCAGAGGCTCTTCTGGGTCTACTTCCTTGTAACCTGCAATATCTCTTGAGGAGTGGACAAAGTAATGGACAGAGAGCGAGGCAATGGGGACCTCCTTGGTAAGGTACATGTGAACATCCCGTGTCCTAAGTGACACAGAAGGAAACTGAGGGCCACACCACAGAGATGCTCCAGGGGTAGAAGCTAATGCAGAGAAACCCAATTAGAGGAGGAAGCTGATTTGTATACAACGTAGAAAATGCAGATGATGTGCTAGAAGTATGAGGTCAACTCTGACTAGCTGGAAGGATCGAGATGAACTGCATTTTTCCTGTTTGTTTATCTGTACTTTCCAAATGGTCTACAGCAAGGTGGGGAAGCGCATGGAGCAGATAGCACTGGAAAGGCTAGCCACCATTAGCCTGTGGTGGGGCTGGTGTCGGTCTGGGTGCCAAGGCTGCCCTGAAGTCCTAAGGTACGAGGGGATGACCAGGTAGTTCTGGAGGAGATCCCAGGCTATACAAGCACAGAACGCAGGGCAGAGGGAGAAGCCTGCGCTGGCATCTGCATCTGAATCTCCCTGGACAGCGCTCTGGGAGACTGAGATATGTAGTCAGGCTGAGCGGGCCCACAGAAGCAAGGGAGAGCAGCTGCAGAATTTAATGGACAAAAGGGCCCTGAGCACCAGGGGCTGAACTCAGAAGTCAGATCACTGATTCAGTGCAGAGCTAAGGGAACAGGTCAGCTATTTCTCATGTATGGGTCACATGGGAGACTTGGAATGTGTTCTGCAGCCCGTGTTCTGGGACTTTGCTCTGCACACCAAGCGAATGCCAGAGCTTGGCTCTAGGGTGGGAGGGAAGGAGGGCAGAAGCTGGAAGCTAATGTGAGGAGTGAGGCGGTGAGAGGAAATGTGATCAGTTCCACTGTTTGTGCCTTGGTCTAGACTTTCATGCTCCTCTCTTGCAGCAGCTGACAAGAGTGAAATCTGGACATTCAGTTCAACCAGAAAATGGAAAATGTTAAAAAACAGAAGTCTTTTTGCTGGACAGCAAAGGGATGCTATAACCTCTCTTCTCTGTGAGAACTTCCCTGACAAATCACATGTGATGTGGATAGGGACAGGGCTTCCTTGTCTCTCTTTTCCATTTTTCTCTCTTTCTCTTGTCTCTCCTCTCCTCCTCTTCTACCTTCCATCCTTGTACTTCCTTTCAAGGTCAGGCCCGACCTACTGATACAATTTTCCTGGACAAATTAATAAGAATAACAAGAACACAGCCTCCTCTCAACCATCAGTGAGGAGCTGTGTTAGCTAAACACGCTTTCCTCCAGGCCAGATCAAGGGGATTTGTGTTTAATAACCAAAACCACAGGCAGCTCAGGATGGCTCAGATTGCAAGCTTAGCCTGGGCCTTACCTTACTGCCCTTCTCAGCACTTAACTCTCGCTTCCCCACGTGGTTTCCCATCCTGGTCTGATGGGCTCTTCAGCAGCTGAAAGAAAAGGACAAGGTGTGAGCCTGAGAGCCAGTACTTTTAGAGTTTGCCACATTGTTTTTTAACAGTCCTGTGAAACTGATACTGCTCTTTTTTGAGAAGATAAAACCAAAGCCCTAAAACCTGAAGAGAGCAAACACTACTGCCTTTCAACCCCATGTAAAGAGCCTCAGAATGATAGAACACCAAAGCTCAAATTCTGCACAGCAAGGAACACATTCAGCATCTGTCTCATCCATAAAAATGTCAACCCATTCGACAAGTCCAACAGACCATTTGCACATGAGCATTTACATCCAGAGGGCCTGGCGTCACCCCAGGGGTGAAGAGATGAGATGAGAATAGTGCTAGATACTCTTCTAAGTTTTCTAAACATAAAAGGGCATGAGTAGACGTTCACTTTGACTACGTGAGAGGATCTGCATGACAAGAGGACAGGAAAAAAAATCAGAACTAAACTGCATATTAGACAAATATCCAAAGAATCTGCAGAATTTGTTGGGAAGATAAAAAGAACAGAATAGAATAAAAAGCATGAGCTCATTTTTATAACTCAAATCTCAGCAACAAATGCACAGTTGTTTTTTTCCACCAAACACAGGAACTAAAGAATTTAACTGTACTCATCCCCTTTCAACCCCATGTAAAAAGCCTCAAAATGATACAGCACTGAAGCTAAAATTTTGTACAAGGAAAACATTCAGTGCCTGTCCCATCCATAACAATGTCAATCCATCCAACAAGTTCAGATTGTCTATCTCGCCTCTGTGGGCCTGCACTGAGGACAGGGAACTGTCAATAGTGGGCCCCTGGTACCTCAGCCTTGCGGAAGGTGACCTAAACCTTGCAGGACAATGACAATGTATTGTATCTCACAATGTGACCTTTTTGAAGATGACACTGAACCCAGGAAAGGTAACAAAATAAGTCATTTTCTAAAACAGGGAAGAGGAAATTCCCAGAATATTAACCAGCCTGAATATGATGTTTGAATCACTGAAAGTTACTCTTTAGACAAAATAACTGTCCAACACCTCACTTTTCCACCTTCCCTGTCCCCGAGTGCCTCTGTTGACTCAGGAAAGACGACTTCAGGGCTCTCTTCTCATAATGATCCAGCGGTTCCCCAGCAGTGAAGGGGTGGGTGAGGAGGAGACAGAAAGGCTGATGCTGACGCGGCCACTGGAGGGCTCAGGCTCCTGTGCAGGCCTCTCAGTCTGGACAAATGTCCCAGCACAGCCAGCTGCCTAAAGCTCCAGTCTCTAGCCTGAGAAGAGCTGACAGCCCAGATTCCCAAACAGATCAGTTCTACTGGGCCTGGCAGTGAAGCTGCCCCTACCATCTCCTTAAAAAAGTGGCACAGAGCAACCTGATAGTCCCCAATCAGTGATTTTCCTATTTTGCCTCATAATCCTACTTTCTATAAGGAAAGTGACTTTGAAAGGACCAGTTCACTTATTTTTTGTTTCTGCTTTTTTCAGTCCTTCTCTGTCTATAAAACCAACTTCTGTTCAGCTCAGCTCATCACATACTTATTCTATTTTATAGAATAAATTGTTGTTCAATTCTAGAATGCAAAACAAAGCCATGTCAGATCTTTAAGTTATAACTTAGTCCTCTGGCCACACCTGCAGGGCATGAGTCAGGCCTGGGGCAGGGACTGTAGTGTGTGCAGGAGGATCTGCAGGAGGGGACAACACCACCAGCCAGCTGCCAGAGGGAAGACCTGGAAGAACTGCTGTGCACTGGGAAGGGAATGTGACAGTGACGCCTCTGGGGACAGCCCCGAGCAGTAAGATATTAAAGTGATCTTCAAGCAGCTTCAGTCACTGTGCTGACAATGCTCGGGCAAATCAAAGGTATGGTTGTATCAATGATAAAGACACAGCCAACTTTGAAGAATCAGATAAAGGTCATGTTTCATAGTGTCTTACTTTTCTCATTGCTGAGACAAAATACCTGACACTCAATGTTAAAGGAAGAAAGGTTTATTTAGCTCACAGTTTGTAGAGGTTTCAGTCCATAATCGACTGGCTCCATGGCAGGGTGGCATCAAGAAGAGAAACAGGTCATGACTGGCAGAAAGTAACATAGCAACAAGGGATGACCACAACTCTTTCAATCCCTTATATCTTACCCAGCCTACTCAGGGCAGGTAGCACTCACACCCTTAGTCCTAATGTCCTTGATCCTAGCATTGTGCCATGAATTAATTCCAGAGACACACACTCTAGATCCAGCTACTTCTGAAAAAACTCCACCTATGACTCATGAGGCTTTTGGGGAACATCTAGACACAAACCATAACATTTTGCCCCTGGCCCCCCAAAGATTTATGTATATTCCTCTATGCAAAAGGCATTTAGTCCATCTCTAGGAGTTGCCAAAGTCCTTACAGTTTCAGCATTGCTGAGGATTTGGGGGGACGGCTAGACACAAACCACAACACATAGCAATGGAACAAAAAGTGTAACATTTTGGTTATGTGTGATTTTTAAAATGTGAAGCCAAACATCTGCAAATAATTTCAGTATCTACTGCAATTCTATCATCTCCCTTCTTAATTTACTTAAATTGGACCATCCAAAGATCATAAATAAAACAAAACAGATAACCAAACAAAAATCCCTACGGAATAAACTTTCCATTGGGAAACGGAGATTTGGGGCACATGTGGTACTTTACTTGCTAAGAATAAGAAAAAGAGAAAGGGAGAGAGAAATGGAGGAAACAGTTTTTGGCCTCTTGTGGTCTAAACACGAAGTGGTATGTTCTGTTGGACTTCTCTTTAATTCCACACAGGGCAGTTTTAACTAAATATTGAGAGCTTGAATTCTGCATTAATATACAGAATAACAACACAGAAGATATGTATGTTGTTACATATATGTGTGTTCTTACTTCCTAAGCAAAAATGGACCTTTCTGTTTAGGCAGTAAGAACTGGCTATTCAAAACAATCATAAGCAAAAGTAGTTAACTCCTTATAATTATAGTTGGCAGCATGGGCGTTAGGGCTGTTCGTGTGTCTCAGGCACTGGACAAGGCCATGTGGCTGGTCCCTCTCTCCACATGTGCACCGCTCCCAGGCATTCCTTCCCAGCATCTGACACCCACCCACCTCTCTGCCTGTGTCCTGCCTTCTACTCACCTGCTCAGTCCATGTCCCCATGCTGGTATCTGTCAGACCCAAATGTGACATTTCTTCCTGCAGAAACCCAATCTCTATGGGTTTGTCACTGACTGGAACAGTGTGCGACATGTGAATGATTTGGAAGTTGCTCACAAAGGAGAGCTATTTTGGACAAAGAGCCCTTGAAGCACAGCTGAAACGTAAGTCAAGACACTGACTGTTCCTTAGATCCAGGCCATATTCCTGCCTTGCCAGCATGTTCTCTCCAGATCTCTAGTGAGTTTCACATTAAAACTTTACCTTACACCTGAGATAATTTATTTTCCTTATTTGGTTTTGTTTTTTTTTTCCGGTACCAGGAATCAATCTCACGACCTTGTGCTTGCCAGGCAGGCGCTGTGCCACTGAGCTAAATCCCCAGCCCCTGGTTTTAGTATCTTGAGACAGGGTCTCACTGGCATGGTCCAGGCTGGCTTTGAACTCACCAGGAAACCCAGGTTGGCCTTGAACTTGTGATCCTCCTGCCTTAGCCTCCTGAATGCTGGGTTAGCAGGCATGCACCACTAGGCCTGGCTGAGATGATTGATTTTCATCAATATCTCAAAACTCAAGGGTACTGGACACAGAATTAATTGAAGTACCAAGGTTCAGATCAGACATTTAAATCAACCTAGCTAGATTTGACTAAATAATTTGGCAAACCTACTTAGATTTCGCTGGCCTGAAATGCAAATGTGACTAGTGTCAGGAAGAAAAACAAGGCACACAAATGACCACCGGATGCATCATGGTGTCCTGTGCTGTCTAACCATCAGCACTGCGGTGCGTAGCAGAGACCATGGTCAGGACAAGGACACTGAGGTGCCACACATTCTCCTGGCTGTGGTCATGAAGGACAGGTGACCTATCTTGTTAAACACTCTCACTCATCCCTTCCTTTTAGAGACTGTTGGGTTAGAGAAGGCTGAGGACCACACTCACAACTGCTCCCACAGACTGCAGGGAGAGGCTGTCTGCAGACAGAGGAGCGACACATCTGAGGCCACCCTTACTGTATTTTACTTTTACAATTAATCAAACTGAGAGAGCCAATATGATAAACATGCAGAGTGCTGCAAGGAAGTCAGGCTGTCAAGCCTCTCCTGAGTAACAGGCAAAGTTTTTCAGAAAAAGCAGCAAAGAATAAGAGCAGGAGGGATGGACGTCTGGATGATGTGGGGAGTGCTACAGACTTCTAGACTGGAATGCATGATTCCACAATGACTGGATTATAGCCAATGGGAATGCTGGAGATTATGGCAATGTCTACATGATTACCAACAATTTTGTCAGCTGGAGGGGTGAAATTAATCATAGGAAGAAGTTCATAACCTTCATTTACTGGGAAACAATCCAATCTTAGCTATTTGGCTTCCACTTTTAATAACATGCTCCCAAAGCAGCTAGAATCCTAAATGTTACCCTGGTGCAGCTTTAGAGGAATCAGCATAGATAAAATTCATTAGCCTATCTTCCAGGCAAATGGTAAAGCTAAAATGCAGGGAGGCACAGGAGAAAAGAATAGCTACTAAGCATTTTATTTTTTATTTTCTGTCTTTTTGAGACAGGGTCTCGCTATGTAGTTCAGGCTGGCCTTCAGCTCACTTTGTAGCCTAGGCTGGTCTCAAACTCAAACAATCCTCCTGCTTCAGCCTCCCAAGTGCTGGGATTATAGGCATGCACCACCACACCCAGCTCTCTAAGTACTTTGGGTTGTATTTCATAGGAAGTGCAAGTAGACTGGATGGGACCCAGGTCTCACTCTGGATTCCACCTGGGACTTTGGGCAAGATTCTACTCTTCTGAGCCTTAGTTTTCTATAATAAGGAGGCAGCAACAGCTCCTTTCTTGCCGGGGTTTCCTAGGGTGAGGGTTAGGGTCAGAACCGGGGTCAAGGTCAGGGTGGGCTGAAGGTGCTGCTGCAGTGCTGGTGAGGTCTGGGGTGTACTGAGCTCTTGGTTGGATCCTACCTGTCTCCTTCCTCTTCCCTGCCCAGTATTACTGGGGAGGTGTGGGTGGCTGAAGAGACACCAGCCAGCTCTCTACCACCAATTCCTTTCTGAGACATAACATGGCTTCCCAGTATGTGCTGCTCTGCAAAGGAGGTCAAAGGCACGGAAGTGAGAAGTTGCGAGCCCAGAACAAAAACCCTTGCTCACCACAGACAACAGAAGCACAGGAAGTCGGTGAACACATGCAAGCTCCAGACCACACTCAGTACCATGGGTGGGCAGACGAGGAGGGGGAGAAAGCCCACAAGTGATGCAAGAGAAGCCAGTCCCTAAGCTGTAGGGGTCCCTGAAGTGACTAGTGCTAAAATAACTGAATTTGAAGATATTACTGTGAGAGATCCCTTGCTGAAACAAATGAAAGGGAGACCTACCCCACGAGGGTCCTGGACAGATGGCTAGCAGGTGAGGTTGCCCACATCATCTTACACCCCAACCCAAAGCTGCTGAAATGTAAGCAGTGAACATCAGCAGCATTGCTGCACAATCGAAGTTATGCTGGCATGGAATTAATTGTGTGCTGTCCACACTGCAATGCATGTTTGGGCTTATTCATAAAAGTCTGTATAGTATATCTATGCCATATATGTTGTAGGTTACAGATGCAGTAATGTGCGTGTCTCTGGACACCCATCCCAGCTGTCTTATTTTTATAGACTTACAGTTCTCTTGGATTTATTTTCATAACCTAATGTTGATTACACCATTCTTTTTGTGTCTGGGTTCAAGAAAACAATCTTAAAGTAAATGTATCTATGGAGATTACAGGATTATTTTTCAATGATTTACTTTATCTCTAACACTTCTATAAACCTTTAGTTATGTAATTTTAGCAATAACCCTGCCAGCTCTATTTCTATTTTATAGTTGAGAAAGGAGTATGCGACTCTAGCTATGCGTATGCCTTTAGAAATATATGCCAGCAAAGTAGGGTAAGCTAGATGGTGTTTTCATTATGAATGGATCCTAGGTGGAAAACACGTATCATGGAAGATTGAACACAGCATGCATTCCTAAGTTATTAATAATTAAATTACTAATTCCTATAAAATAATTAAATTACTAATTCCTATAAAGTAAGAAGATCTTACTCAATTAAGTAGCCTTGAGAAAATATGAGTAGTAACAACCTGTTCTTTATAAACATGCACACAGATACATAATTTTTACAATGAAAATAACAAACTTTCTTTATTCATTGCTTGGTATTGTGGAATAGCAGTTTATTTTACTTTATTTTATTTTATTTGTCTTTTTGAGACAGGGTCTTGCTATGCAGTTCAGGCTGGCTTCAACTCAACTGTACCCCAGGCTGGCCTTGGACTTGCAGCAATCCTCCTGCCTCAGCCTCTAGAGTGCTGGGAATACAGGTGTGTGCCACCATGCCTGGCTGAGTTTATTATTTTTTTAACTGGGGATTGAAGCCACATCATTTGCACTGAGCCCTTTTTTATTTTTTATTTTGAGACACGATCCCACTGAGTCACTAAGATACCCAGGCTAGGCTCAAACATGGGATCCTCGTGCTGCAGCCACACAGAGTACTGAGATCACTGGAGTTCTCCACCAAGCTCAGCTATTTGCTTTTAATTCCATGCCTGTCAGTAATTATTCCTGTCAGTGTCTGATTTCCTATCTGTAAAGATGGAATATTTGTGGTGTTGTAGAGAGGATTAAATAAGGAAACTGAGATGACTGCAACAGGCCTCTGATGTCGTATCTTTCTTCCTTTAAAGAATGACTTATGAGTTTCATAAAAGCAGAAGAAGACAAGTAGATACTTTGCACAGAGCCCAAGAGGCCAATCTTTCATACATATTTTAACTGCCCAGTTCAACTCTCTTGTAGTAGTAACAAATTTTTAGCAAACATACTGCTTTATAATCAATAGAAAGCCAGAGAGCAGTTCATCTTTTTCATTAGTCTCTCATGCAATTACTTATGTACAGTATTTCAGAGTAACTATGTTCCTGTCCTGCAGTCCATCAGCATGTACATGCACCTGTGTAAGTGAATGGTAACAGTGAAAATGCCAGTGGAGATGGGTTGAGAAGGACAGAGAGCCAGAGCAGTGAGTCAAGCGAGAAACCATGGAGACAGCACTACCATGTCCTGCGGCAGAGTGAGAGGAAAGTTGGTTCAGGGAAGGAGGGGGTGAGGGCTACAAGCAGAGCCCCAGACCAGTGGTACCCGCCTTATGGGGAGCTTCCAGAAACACTCATTCCAGGGCCCAGCTCTGTGCACAAGGTCTGAAATGTTTGGGCCTTGGGCCTTGATTATACCTCTTGGTGTTTTTGGACTCACAGGAAGGAAGTGGTGAGAAATAGGAAGGAGAAGGAACCTTCTCACGGAGATGCTTGCCATCAGGAGCTGGGTGCAAAGGTAATGCCAAGCAAACAGGATTGGGAATTAGTCTGCTTAGACATGAGGACAAATTTTATTTCCTTTCTCTGCAAAGCAAATGAATACTCCACCTTGCAGTTTTTGCTTCATTTGTTCTACTTTTAGTTATGGATTAGTAAAAAAGAAAACATATATCTGTATCTGACCCTATGACTATACATTTTTAAGATGTCTTGCTTCAGTTTAGAACTCACTTTCCCAAAGCAACTTGCTCTAACCACTTAATCTCGATGAGACCATTCAATTATATACTCTGCTGGCATCCAGTCCTGCAACGTGTGTGTTACTGTTTAAAGTGGGCATCCCTGGTGGACTGCCAGCTCCATGAGGGCATGTGACAGGGCCACAAGTATTCCCTGTGGTTCCCGGGCCCAGTACAGGATGAATCAATCAACCAACCAACCAACCAACCAACCAAAGAACATCCAAAGGCAATCATGTCTTCACACGTCTAAGCAGGATAGCACCAGCATTTCTAAAAACCTTGTAATTCGAACTCAGAAATAATATGGCCAGTGAAGGTCACTGGTTTCTGAAAACATGATCAGCAATATTTATATGGGTTTTACACTCACATGAGAGTACTATGTGTATCACTTAGGATTTACTGGAGAAACAGATACAACAAAAGATATGTAAATGTGTTAGAAATTATAAGTTTGGCTTACAATAGTCAGCCACAGAGTTGGACAAGGAAGCATGCAGAGGGTGTCTGCACGCTGGAGATTGAAGAGCCCAGCCTCAGGCCTGGAGCTTACTGTAGTGTTTGTGTAGGTTTGTTTTAGGAGGCTGATGGGTTTATTACGGAATGCTGAAGAATCTATGATGAAAGCTGGAGAGTTTATATCAGAAGGCTGAAGAGTGCCAGGCGGAAGCCGAACAGTCTGCACCAGAAGCCAGGAGATGACCAAGCTGAAGGCAAAGACTGGAGCTCTTTTGAAGAACCAGCAGTCAGTCTTTTCTAATTTCTTTTTTATGTAGCCTGTCCCCCCTGGGGGGTGGGGGTGGTCTTTTATATCCACACCTTTTGTATGTCTTTTTTTTGTATAGGCTTTGGATGAATATAAAGTAAGCACCCTCGCTCTCTGTTGAGTTACATAGTTAATCTTTTAATCTTTTTAAATTGACACAATGAACACCTCAGAAGGGTAAGGGCATGTCTTTTTTAATCTTAAGATGTAGAACTGTTGAGTTATTTAGTTAAACCTTTAGACTCCAAGTTGACACAATGGATCAACCATAACACTATGGTACCTTAGTTTTTAGTACTTGATTATTATGTAAACTCCCTCTCACCGAAATGTCTCATGTACAGCATATATTCAAAGAAGCTGAGGGCTGGGGATGTTCCTCAGTGGCAGAGCTCTTACCTTGCATGCACAAGGCCCTGGGTTTGATCCCTCACATCACAAAAAAGAAAAAGAAAGCCACTGGAAATTGGTAATGAGATTACAGTTTAATTCAGAAGTTTAGTACAATCTTTCTAAAATTAGGCTCAAAATGTAGTCATTATTTATGAGAGGTTATGTGTTACTGCCGATTGTGTGTTAGACAAATATCTAACCAAAAGGTGAACCAAACTGGAGTCTGGAATTGTGTATTGGCTCAAAATTTTTACTAACATCTCACCAGGCCTAATATATCATGCCACTTTATTTTTACTTGAGCCAAAATACCAATATATTTTCTTTCTTTATCTAGATCAAGTTTCAACAAGTTATGATCCATCCCCCAAATAGTCACCAATTTTTCTACAGTTTGGTTGGAATAGGACTACAGTTTCTGTTTGCTTGTTTTCTACAGCTCCTTTCCTGCAGTCAAGGTGATGTTGGGCAGGTGCAATACTTTCCGGTTTAAAATATTATCACTCTAGTCCTTTATAGGAAAAGGGTCCTCACCTCTGATGCAGATCATAACAATCTTTTAAAACTGTCAAGGTGGTGACATTTCCCAGCATCCTTTGCAGCTGCATGTGAATATGTTCTGGCAACTAGCTGTCCAGTGAGGGTGTAGGAACTATTTGTTCTATGGCCACTGCACTAGGCACAAAATACATTTAAGTTAAGATTCATGTGTTTGGAAATGATAACATGTACACCTAAATACATACAGTATGACCTATTACAAAACATATAAATTATGACTGATTTTTAAAAATCCATCCAGGACACTCCATGTATAGTGACTCCCAAGAAGCAGAAATAGTAATATGAACACACATACACTAGTAGAATTTCAAAGTCTCACAAGAATGGTACCTTTATCTGCTTTCCCTGCTTTTTAAAATCACTGAAGCAATATTTTCAATGTTGCATGTGCTTTGCTATTAACTCTTAGTGGTTGCTACTAGCCTTTCCTAGCCTTTAGAGGCAAGCTGACTTGATGGTCCTTGTGGCCATGGTTCCTGTTCCTGGACCTTTTTTTGGACCACCGTGGCTCTAAGCACTTGCTATGCGAGCCTGGCATGGTCCGGGATGGAGGAAATGCTCAGTATACACGTGTACCTTGGAAGGACAGATGTGTCAATCCTTTGGATTAGATGTATCACTCAGCATTAACTGTGGAAACACTGAGTGCTTATGAGAATGCTTCTGTATTTGAGAGGTGACAGAACATACATTCTGGAAGCACGTGACTAAGGGAAAATCATCATGGATTGGTGCATGTCAGAAAGGTTTTTCTGAGCCCTGAACTGGGTGAGGGAGGTCACTGCATGGAATTTAGGTTGTAGAGACAGACTGTGTTGTAGAAATGGGAAAACCTGACTAGAGGAAGTAAGAGAGGAAGAAAGTTTCAGGAGGCCATACAGCCCTTTCTGGAGTGCTGAATGCAAGAGAGAATGAGCTGGGATGAGCCTCACACAAAACCTCACACAAAACTGGAGGCCAGGGCAAGATCCCCCAGGACAAAGCCCCATGGCTGAAAATCAGCGAGGTCTACTTCCTTTTTCTAGGCCTCTGCCTCCTCTCCAGATGTCAGGGCAGATCCCCAGCCCTGCAGAGTGACACGTTGGCCTGGAAGATAGCTTCTGAGATCAGAGGTGACACTGGGCTTGGTGAGTGGGTGTGTTTCAGCAAGAATATTAGTGTCTGTTCTCCTGCAGATAAAATAAACCCCCACCCAAGACACAGACCTTGAAGGCAGGCACTACATATATAGTCTGCTCCTCTGACTTTAAACAGAAAACCAAGGAACAAACAGAGCCATGTAAAATAAAAGATCTGAAAGGGAAAGAGAAGAACCAACCAGAAGGGCTTCCATGCCATAGTATCGGTGCTGCCTCTCACTTCCCTTCCCTCTCTCCACCCCTACCCACGCTCCTAAGCCTGCTTTCTGTGGACCATCGCTATTGCTTAGGTCAGAAACGTTCCCATAACATCACATGTTTAGAATTTGGCAAACAGCTTCTAACATCTCCAAAGTAGCAAAGGAGCAAACAGAAAAAATACCCTCTTGCAAGGAAAAAGGGCAACTTCAACATACCAGAGCAGGAGCAGGAACTCGAGAAGCCACACTCGGTCTAAGCAGCGGGATGGCAGCTGACGTGGGGCCCACACACTTCCCCACGCCATCTTCCCACCTCACAGGTGCCTCTTCTCTTTCAGTTCCTTCTGACCCCACCTCTCCTGCAGCACAGCCCAGGCAGCTGCCCACCACAGAGCAGTGCGGACGGACCCAGCCTCCCACCACCTTCAGGCCACACTGCAAAGCTGTGCTGTGGGACTTGGAACGGGAAAAACTCCACGGAGCCACTCTGGACCCGTGCGTGCAAGCATCAGCTTCCAGATGTTCTGGGATGGCATTTCTGCTCCATAGCACTAGATGATATCATCCATAAGCTGCTTGGCGTCTTCCTCTTTTTTCATCAGGCTTATCAAGGTTAAGTAGATTTATAGCACACAGCGCTGCCCTGAGGTTATCAGAAATCATTTTAAAATTATAGAATTACAGAAAAGTGGAGTTTATTGGAAATCTGACTTTGTTCCCTTGGATTTATTACACAGAGCATTGCCTGATCTTGTAGATAAGCTACTGTCAGAATGAAGTAGCAAACTGCTCGTTCTGGAGCTCCCAGCTTGCTCTAATATCACCCTCTGGACTGAAGAAATGATTCTCTTCAAGGAAGACAAACAGCAGTTCATTCTACTCAGGGGAGATTAACTTGAAATCTCTTATTTATTGATAGGGTATATAGATGCATAAAGAAATATATATCCACAAGTCTATGATTAAGTACAGTGCTCGGCTTTTGCAGCTCTTACAAAAGATACAAAATTCTTTGTGTAAATATAGCAGGATCACGAGGAAGCAGCTTTTGGTCTGTGAAACATGACAAGCCAGAGCAGCATGTCACCTCAGATGAGCCTGCGTGACTCACTGCAGCACATGCAGGCACGCCCTCGTCCTGCGGCTTGAGCTGTCTCTGGTGGCTTCGGTCATGTACCTCTGACTTCATCATGAGGAATGAACATCCCATCCTGGAGTTACTCAGGAAGAATGTTCATACCATGCCTCAGCAGGGCCTTGGTGGGGCTCTGTCACAGGTGTGGCCTACCCAAGGCTGGGGCTCAGGGATCAGGGAAGAGGTTCCTAAGGCTGGAGGGACGGAAGTACCCTAGCCCTGCTAGCCTGCTGTGGGGCTTTAGCTGTTCCTCCTTCTCTATGAATCCATGGTGGCAAAATGTACTTCCTGGTGGTGCTGTTGAGATCACTGGTTGGTACATTACAGTACCAAGGACACAAACCACGCAGCACGGGCTTCTCCTTCCAGCTGGGTCCAGCCTCTGGGCCTATCTTCATGCATATTCATTTGTGGTATGGAAGACACTGACAACTTTTCTGTGACTATAGGTCAGGTGTCCAGCACAATCCGGAGCCATGAGCACTGGTAACCAGAGGAGTCATGCCCACCTTGGGCATGGCTCACAATAGGGCCAGTGACAACAGAACAGCAGGTTACAGGCCTGACTTCTATATCTCTGCTTTTCTCTAGAATACCCAGCCTTCTGGGCTTCAGGTATAATCATACTCTTGATATCTGCACATAGGGAGCAATATATACACAGACAGGGGGTCCGTGCCTCACAATGTATAGTCTGAGCTGTAACTAAATCAAATTTAATCTTTCTGAAAAACAAACAAGCAAATCCAAAAGTTCTTGACTCAAAATCTCTAGGTTTTAATCAGAGAAAAGAATGCCATGCTGTGATCCTACCACAGAGTCCTACCTCAGAGTCAATCTTCTGATTCTACATCTTCACACAGGCATGTAGTCTATTACTCAATCACATCCTTCTAGAACCTTCTGGAACTTTCCATAACCTTTAACTTTTCAAAACCTTCCAGATTCTAACTGGGGATAAGAATGCTATGGATGGTCATCAACTCCACACAGTGCTGTAGAAGACATGGCTCTGAGCCCATCTCATAATGGATACTGTGTCTTCATATGGGAACACACATTTTTTCTTGGCTAGTTTTTAACTTTCTAATAGAAAGATAGAGAATACAGCAAGTGATAATAACATTTAAAGAAAAAAGACCTGCAATGAAAACTAGATTTGGACTGGTGAAACAGAACAACCAGTTAGAGGCAAGGTGCTCCCTATGTGCTAGTGCTGCTGAGCTCTTAGAAGGGCATCTTCTTATGCTGCCCACTCTGCAGATGCTGAACACATGTGGTTTACTGGGTCTGAGTGGCATAGGCCAGGCAGGAACACCATAATGAGGTGGGAACACTGTAATGAGCTCCTGGCTCCTATGCAGTATGAGACTTGTGGAGTTTTAGGTCAAGCACATGAACTGACCAGATGACTTGGTGTTACAAAAAACAGGGTTCAGGATGCATTATGTCTTGGATTCAGTAAGG